TAAAGTTTAAGATTGGTGATTTTTGTTGAATGTACTAGAATTGTATCCGAAAATTTCATAGAGAAATCTGAAACTAATTTTTCATAATGAGCTTCTCAGCAAAATTTAATATATATTTCCTCCCTCTTCCACGTTAGTACTTTCAATGCTGTGAATCCTCACTTTCGAATGGGATCGCTATATATGCAGCTCAACCCATAATTCAATTGCGGCAGACGGAGTAAGTATACGATTCTCTTGCGTCAACACGAGTCATGTTCTACTAGAAAAGCCTCTCCGAATGAATCCCACCATAGGTAGAGTCCCAGTGTACCCTAATACAAGCCAATCATTTCTGTATTCTTAAGTTAGCTATGGAAAACAATAATGGTTTCTTTCAGTAATGTTAGCAATTCTGCGAAAAAAAGTACATTTTGTTTTCAGAAACTTAATATGTTTCTTAATAAATTTCTTACAACAAAATTCCTTATTTTGAATAAATCCTTCTTATGTATTTAATTGCCATTTTTGAATTCAACAGCGATATTTTAATCTTAATATATTTTCTAAATCTAGACAAAAATTCACCGTTTCAGTTTGAAGAATTACACGTTTATATATTGAATATTTTAAAATTCTAATGTTCCTAGATATAAATAAGGAATTATAAATTTCCCTTAATATAGAACACATTAAAATAATTTAAGTAATTTCTTAAGCATGTCATAAAATCCATAAACATGTAATTGATAAGTATATGTTTCAATAATTTCCTGAATTTTAATTAAGTTCTCTGAATAATTGATTATTAGTGATTTAATATAATGATGAATATGTTCTAAGTATTAATAATTACATACATATATTGGTTTGTGTGGTTGCGGCAAAGCCTCGAGGGTTATATATCTGCCTAAATGGTGGGATGCCTTCATGGAGGAGGACTAAGGAAACCTGGCTCGTATACATATCACACATGGGAAGAAACATGAAAATACCCAAGCAGCCAGCTCGTTCGTGATATTCGAGCCTCATATCGAACTACAAAGTCTTCAGCGATCTTACCGCTAGGCCGCTGGTGGGTAAGTTTTTATACTATACTGACAACCGAATATCTGAAAATTTATTCAAGATTGTCAAAATTTCTTACTTTATACCACTTGCTTCAAATCAAATTACTATTCACAAAGAAGTATATCCTAAGTTTTTGCAGCAACTGTATATTAGGCTCTTGACATTCGTTTTATTTAAAGAAAAAGAGTCTCAAATTTAGCATTTTTAAATTTTAAGTTCTTTTCTTTGTTTAATGACAAGCACTAGCCACTTTTAGGCTTTCGCCATTAGTAAGGCCCAAAGTGGGGGTCATTTTATTATGGAGGTATCTAATAGCCGCCCACCAATCTAATGTTGCTTATGAGGGCACAGATAATTTACATACGTCCTTATCCGGGATTCAAACCCAGGCCCTTCGTTATCGCAGTCAGGTCCTCTAACCACTATATCGCCTGGGCGGCCTAAATTTGAAATTAATTAAAGTTATAATAATTCTTGCTTCAAAATTGAAAATTCTTATACAACTTGCTTTAGCTACGTTGAAAAATATTTGAAAGCGTTTAGTAAATGCTCAGTTCATGTACGTTCACAAATATTTTTATAGCACAATATTTAAAGGAAAATTCGGGCTTGCATGCTAAACTTGCGGACTAAACGATATTAACAACTTTATTTGGCACCAAGCTGCAATTATTGGCCTGTAAACATTTGCCTGTTGTCATTATACTCAAAATGTTCGTCTTGTTGCTTTATTGTTCGTCGTGTTGCGTCTTTCATTATTTTTAAAAAACTGTAAAGTACAACGAAACGGGTACTATCAGCTTTTATCAAAATTACAAAACATTATAGAAACGTTGAGAATATTCTGGTTTTCCTACAAAGAAAATATGATTTTACTCCCTAAAAGAAAAACGCTCAGAATCTTAAGTAGCACTCAGAAGCTTCAGTATTCAGGTAGAATGAGAACATAAATTCGTTTAATCAATTAAACAAATTAATTGGGGAAATTAAAGCTTGATTGAGAAAAGGAAATCTGTATGTTGTTAACGGAAAAAATCCTCTATTTCTTCTGAAAGGAAGTTTAGGTACCTGGTGCTTCAAATTCAAAGCATTTCACAAATTTTCAATTAAAAATGTCTATAGCATATGAAATTTTTAACGAATTATTAGTTTAGCTTAATTTAATTTGCGTTTGTTAAAAACGTAATAAAATGCATGTGATACAAAACCTAGGAAACGCTGATCCGCATTAACATTTTGACCACTAATGTCAAAATAAAATTCACCGTTTTCTTGAAATTATTTGCGACTACACATTTACAGAAATATAAAATAATTTAAGGTTCTAATTCTTCCACAGAAAACTTTCAATACACGTTACATGATCTGCAGTATGAAATGTAAGACTTTGCACTTCGAAAATAATTTAAATGCAAATAATATTAAATCAGAATATCCTTCATAAATTGTAGGCCAATGTTAGAAGTAGTAGTGCAGTAATATCAAAGCTGATTATTAACATAGTTGAATTACTTCTAAGTAAGAATAATTTAGAAAGAGGTGAAAAAATTTTAGAAGAACCTTATTGTTCTTTCAAACAGTGCTAACACATAGCACCGGGGAGATTAAGGAGGAATCCTTAGTTTAGTAATTTCGAAGTGAAACTGACCCGTCTCGATTCTACGCATGCAAAAGGGAAAAATATGTCTTGTAATTACATTATTTACTTAAATGGATCAAAACATTATTAAAAGCAAACCATACCAGGTCTCTCTGCTTTAAAGGAAAAATGTCTTTGTTAAATAGTTTCTTAGAAAACTAGCTCGTATTCATGAAACGCAGGGAAAGAATAGAAAGACTCATAAGCAGTCATTAACTCATCATTAGAACCCAAGGCTACATAGCATTTTCAGCGGTTTTATCCACTTAGCCTTTGGGAATCCTAGGAAAAGTTATCAGTGTTCTGTGGTTTCAGTAACTCTGCTCTTTTTTGTGTTTTCAAAACATGTTGGGAGATGCTGCATATAATCATTTAAAAAATTAAATGCTTAAAAAGCATAGATAAATATAAATCTACTCTAATAAAGAAATAAACTAAAGTTAAAAAATTTAACTTCCACAAAGTTTAGAAATTAAATCCTTAAATTTAGATATCAAAACGTTTTGTTATCTATGCATTTTGTCATTTTTAATAGTGCTTTCAGTAGTTTCAGAAGTTTTATGGGCGTAGGATGTGTTCAATAATGCACACGTCTAGAATTTTGTGTATATGTTACGGCCAAAGCCCGAAGTCGGCCAGTTCCCGGATTGGCCGGCCAAATCTCGAAACAGCCAATATCACATCACAATGACCGGCCAATGTCCAATCTTTTCTTTATTTCGGGGTTTGGTCAGCCATTTCGCGAAATGGCATGGGGCGATCGGCCAAATTCAGAAGAAAAAGGTCATGAGCAAATTTTGGGTATTTGTATACCGTAATGCTAATCATAATCAAATTTTTTAAATACGATGTTCCCATTTGGGAACAATGGTCCTTAAAGCATTAAGAAGCATCTAAGCACAAGATTCTTTGATTGCTTTTAGTTGCTTTTATATCAAGAATATTTTCAAATCTTTTATATTTAAATGACTCTTTTTTTTTTTTTTTAGAATCGAAATTTTCAAATGATTGGAGTAAAATTAGATTTATGGACGGTTGAATAGTACTTTAGCACTGAGCACCACTAATGGCACTGAGGCACCTTCTAATGACACTGAGTACCACTCAGTGATATTATAAATTTGAGTTAGGAGAAATTATTCGAAAAATTGTAGTTTCTGTGCTTGAAAAGTATGTACAAATTCTTGAAACTGAGTTTGATCCACAGTATAACAAACGAATATTGAAAAGGCTTACCTATCCGGGGAAACCAGATTAACCCGCAATCGAAACTATTCAGTTAGCGGGCCCGTAAACAATAACGCTTTGCCAGATTCGTAATTCGATATATGGATGCAAGATACACTGAAAATAGAGCACATTAAACATAGGCAAGGGAGTTCCAGGCACTTCGGAAAGTCGCATATATACGCTATTCATTTCCAGTACATCAGACATTGGCCACACGTCCCAGACAATGTGCGAAATGGCCGGACAGTTCGGAAACTGGCTGAATTTCGGGCTTTGGCTATAATATATGTTTTACATTGCAATATAATGTATGCAAACGTAATCTAAGAAAGTTTAGTTGTTTGATTTATCTGCCATTGAAACTACGCTTCCTAAAAGAATGTTTTCAAGTTAAACGCCTCATCTTTATGTTACACACGAGGAAAACACTAAAGCCTTATGCAACCAACCCATTCGCCAGAAATCGAGGTCAGAATGAATTGTCAGTGTTTAGAGTTTTTATCCACTTGGTCAATGGTGGGTCACGTTTCATGGTTATTCCTTGCAATATGAGGTCAAAATCATGAAGAAGTACAGTTATGCAGTTCATTTCACATTAAGTTTTACCTTCTCAGGAAGAAAAAGCAAAATTTTAGTTTTTCTTCCAGAAACTCTCTAAAAACCTAGTAATACTGAACACACTTTTACTTTTTATTACTAAATTTGCTATAGGATAATTAATTACAGAAGTGCAATCAAAAATTTCATAAAATGTCGTTATGTTAAAGATTTACATCAGTTTGATGATTGTTAACTTTGACAGAAAATAATAATTAAAAGAATTCAATACAAAATGATCTACCATAACTACTTGAATTAAGCAATTATCGAAATTTAGAGATTTATACGGTTTCTGAAAAATACCTTACATAGGAGAATCTCATGTTTCTTTAGCAGTAATGTTTAAACTCACAGTGAATAAATTCATGTTCTAGTTTAAAGTATATCATGTGAAGTAAACCTCATAGAAAAAGCGTTTCATTGCTGATATATGAAATATAAATAAAACAATATACATATAAAAGCATCAATATTCACTTACCAGACTCTGGTTCGCTGTCAATGTCACTGTCATCTTCCTCTGTTGACAGTCTCATAGATTTGCAACAGCGGTTTGATAGTATCGTCATTCTCCGACTGGAGAGAACTTTTAAATCTAATGATTCTAAAGAATCGGATTTTTCAGTTTTACCATTCATTTTGAAAGGAAACGGTCAGTGCTTCATTGTTTGAATTTCATTTGTGACAACTCGATTTGAAAGGTGCTACAGTAGCTACTTCCTATAGTAGATACTATCTACAGATTTTAGTTAAACTATCTAACCTTACCGCAGAAAACTCAAGGAAAGAAAGGAATTAGTTATCTGCCGTTTTTCAATGTACATAATATTTTCGTCAGATATTTCACGCAAATGTGTTTGATAAAATCTGAATAAAAATCTTTAAAATACGTAATTGCAATCATGTTAGTTAAAAGTCCTAAAATTCAACGGTACAGAAATACGCAACGGCAAATTAATTTAATGTGACTTTTAGCATCGGGAAGTAACTGAATTAATTTATTCTTAAACAAAACAGAACAAATGACAATATATTGATAATAAACTGCTTTTCTAATGATATGGATTATTCTTTTAATTTACTGATTAATTTTAAAAAACTAATTTAGATATTCCAAAAGTCCTTGAAAAGATTTAATATATTCTCTTCATCCAAATATGATAATTTTGGCAAAATTCCTTTGCAATAAAAACTCTTTAAATATTCTTCTTTTAAATGTGTTCCTCAATTAAACGAGTTGAAATGTTTTAATACATACATGGAGATTTATATTTTACGATTACGGATTCCTTTTAATATCAGTTATACAATAACTGAATCCAAAATCGCAGGTAATTTGAATTAATAAACATTGTAGATCAGAATGCAACGCTTATAAGACGAAATGTTACAATAATCATTATGAAAACTAAATAATTAGCTGATTCAAGAAGTAAAATACAATGAAACTTGAATAATAATACAATAAATTGAATATATTTAGGATTAGCACATCTAAACAACGTTAATTTGCTAACATTCCTGTCTGGATTAGGACGTTTTCAGAAACGAGAAGCGAGTGCCAAATGTTAAATAACAATTAACTATCGCAATTAAAACACTGTAAATTCGTCGACTTTTTAGTTGTTGAAAATATGGTAAAGCACACACATAATAAAGAGAATATTGGCCTTTATCCCTACATTTCAAGCACAAGAAACATAGAAGTGCACCAGCTGTCACAGGTTGAAGTAGGAAAATATTTAAGAGAGTTAGTTCTACGCCGCTTCCATGACAAAAACGTGCACATGGCGACCAAAGTTGTGAGCGTTGTCAGTGAGAATCATTGATTGGGAATCTCGTGGTAATCACGTGACAGTTTTGTTCACCAGTAAAAAGTAAAAAGAATGTATTTCATGTCTAACTCGATATCGATCCAGGAATGCCCAGTTATCGCCGATTTGGCGGTAAGATTTACTCTGCAATCAATGAGGAAAACACTTTTCCTCAAGAGAGTACAACTAAAATAGTACTTTTTTTCCCCACATTATCAGTTTTTAACAGCTTTTAACATTCCGTCAGAATCTCAATTATTTGTGATAACTTTTGTTTTGCTAAACTTGGTGCAGAGTCTTAAGCAACAAAGGAGACGAAAATGAAAAGATAAAACCTACAATAACAGGTACTAAAGATAAAGCTTTCACAGTGTGAAAAGTGACTATGGCTCTTTTGAATAGTTTATCAAATACAATATTCAAATAAAAATATTTAAAATTTGTTTAAATTTTGATTTTTAATATTATTTCTGAATTTTAAGTAAAAATATAAGGATGTCATTTATAGTAGGTTCCAGTATGTTTGAGAATTCCTGAAAAATTGATAAGGCTTCACTTATCGACTCTTACTCCGTTTTGATAGATTTTAATTTCATTTTTAGAAAAACAGATAGAAGAGACAAGTGACAATTTTAAAACTAGTCAATTCAAACTTTGATTGGCATGAGCTTTCAGAAACGATCTACGTGTTTCCCTCCGATTAAAAAGAAGAGATAATTCAATGCAAATGCTCAGAAATAGTCTCTCAAACCTCACTAAAAACCATTTAATTAGGAAGTAAACATTAGAATGCTTGAATCCTGAGAAATATTCTAGGTTCAAAAACTCGAATTATCACTTGTTTTTTGTTTAACCATTCAAATGTTTAAACAGAACAGAACTGTCGCATTTTCAGAAATACTCGAATCACAAGTATTACCGTTTATCAGCCTTTTTTTTTTTTTTTTTTTGATTCGCTTTAATTGATATTGCAAAGCAAACGAGAGCTCTCTGCTCAAGTGTAAGGATGCCTTTGTGGAAGATTTTTTTAAGTAAAACTCCCTCATTTTAATGTCGCACGCTTGGAAAATCACCAAACCTTCCATCAAGAAACCCATTTGCCGAGATTTGAACCCAGATCGAACTACAAGGGTTCAGAGACTGTAATGCTTTGCAATTGAAGGGTTCAGAGACTCCCAGATCGAACTACAAGGGTTCAGAGACTGTAATGCTTTGCAATTGAAGGGTTCAGAGACTGTACGGCTCGGCCAGTACAATGTTTCAGAGACAGGACAGTACTGCTCAACACTCAATGCAACACTGTTTACACTGAACAGTGATTCGCTAGATGCATTCGTTAGCATGCATCTAGCGCGCTAGATGCATGCTAGCGAATTCATCTAGCATTCGCTAGATGCTTCGCTAGAAGCATCTAGCGAATTCAAGCATTCGCTAGATGCTTGAAAATTCAAGCATCTAGCGAATGCTTGAATTTCCAAGTAATATATTCAGTTACCTCGAAGATTTTGGACACTAACTCTCAAATCATATCGATAGTTCCGAGCATAGGTAACCTACTAATAGATCTCGGATCTTTCTAACAATTTGTGTCCTTGTATATAAATACTGCACCACTCATATTACATGAGTTTTCTACCAGTTAAAATTACGTGACTACAAGTCTTAAATTTTGAACTGTTCATAATGGTTTAAACTGTTAATTGAAATATGAAATAATACTCAAAATTTGTTTTGTTAAATTATGTTGAGACGATCTAACTCAAGATTCAAGAAATCGAATTACTATTTTTATAAATTTAACTTGTAGCATTTTAATGTTTACAGTCATATTCTTTGATTAATAGCTCTATTCTTTTGTTCTCACCAAATTCAATTAAAAATTTTTCTTTAGAAATAATTTATGGTACTTTCTGATTATCTGCACCCCCATTGAAAAGTCGCGAAAAGATATTCGGAAGGCAAAACAGTATGTGTGCAGAAAAATTACGTGGCAACCCACGATGTCATCAAAATATATTTACTTGGTAACCAGGATATGTTTACGCTAGGGCACAATGCTAAGTTGTAGAATGCTGAGTTTGTGCATTTGTTTTCCAAGCGAAAACAAGATGATGCTTTTTCGAGCTGTGTGGTGTATGGTGTATTTAATTATGGCAAAGCACACTAGGGCTATCTGGCTAAGGGGAGGGATGTCTTCGTGGAGGACTTTCTAAGAGAAACTGGCTCGTATACACATGGGGAAAACCACGAAAACGCCCATGCAGCCAGCCCGTTCGCGGGATTCGAACCTCGGACCGAACTACCAGTGTCCAGCGATTTTACCGCTCGGCCGCTGGTGGGCTGCTTTTTCAAGCGAAAACAGATTGCAGTGTATATGGAGAAAACAATAGCGCAATAAGAAGGATTATAGTTTGCAATAAGAAGGATTGTATATATTTTATCACCATTTTTTGCTTTTTGAAATTTAATTTATTGATTGATCTTGTATGGAGCAACGAGCCAAAATTATACAAATTGCTGTTTTCTTCCACCAGTTTAGCGAAGCATTTGTTGCCAACGAATTCGCGAATTCTCTCCAAAGCCGCCCACGAGTTGCAACTTTCCAGTGGGGTGCTGATGATAAAATATAACCGAAAATTTTAATATTAATACACGTTTCTTTTCATTAATGCTCAGATATTTTCCGTTACAGACAATGCGTTCGAAACAATTTTCTACAGAAGGTTGTATGCTACAACATTGCCAGTTTGTCAGGCTCAAATTAAATGTGTTGCTTTTAACTCTCATATCAGATTTTTTTGTTTTAAAATACTGATCTACGATCGAGACGTAAAACCGCTGAATAGTGGTAGTTGGATTAGGTGCAATGTCCGGCAAATGGACTGACTGCGTAGGTGTTTTCGAGATTTTCTTCATATGCAGCGTGATTATGAGCTAATTTCATTAAAACAAATTCACGATTATCCTCCCTTAGTCCAAATAATTAATCTAACAACTTCCATAATCCAATTAATTTATCTAATGATTCAAACAAACCATTTAAGCATTTAATTCCAAACTCATTTCACCCGCCAGCTGACTGTGTCCCCCCAGGTTCGATTACCAGGGCACTTTGACTTTTATATGGTTTTTTGCATGTATAACGTGAAAACAAACCTTATCCCTTACAATATCCTTTATGAAGCCGCTTTTCTAAGACTAGCAATCGCGTGTTTTACCACAATCAGTATATAATCTAGGCCAACCAAAGTTTCTATTCTTCAGTCAACTAGTGTGATAAAATGCTGAAGATTCCCTTGTCTCTCTGAACTCCCTGGGAATAGTATGGTTTTTCTTACCTCTATAAATGTAAGTCTTACTGATATTTGTATTTTAGAAAAGAATGTTAAATTTTAGCGACCTATAATTATGTTTGTAACGATATATAGTAACTCTAACTTTCTCTTTTGTCATGTTGACCCATGTTTAATGGCTGTAATAAGTAAAATGTCTGTTATATATATCTTGAACTCCACCCATCTCATTCTTCCATGCACTCTCCCTTTCTTTTTTCGGAATCGAACGTTTCGTTTGAATGTTTTCGAACTCTTCAAAAACATGACTGGAGAACACGTACGTCTGTAAATGATCAAGGACATTTTTTGCTCCAATTTTATTGTAGAAAGATCTTATTTCGGAAGTTGCTGTAAAAGAAAAGGAAAAACGAAATGCAGAAATACTTGAAGAACGAAGAAAATTTCTGTGTCAAGTTGTGATCATATGGGTCTATTAATATACCGAATACGACAGTTCACTAGTTAAGCATATGTTAATTGCTCATTAAATTAACATACGCTAACTGGTTATAAATTTAATCTGGATCACACAAAACATTTCGAAACTTTTAACATATCTTTATAGCTAGCACTTTAAAAGGTTGAATTATTAAAAAAGATTAATTTATTTCAATGCTTTTTAGTAGTTAAAAAATTATATTGATTTAAATGTCTGTATTTGTAATAAAAATATTACTCGCCTAACAGTGTCGATGGGGATAAGATAGCTAACGTTGGTAGTTCGATACTTTTTGTTTTCTTATTTCTCTCAGGTGTGACGTTACTGGAAGACAGAATCACCTAGAAAGTTCTCTATGAAAGCATCATTCTCCGTTAGAAGATAGGTCTCGTCTGGCTTGGCTTATTAGATTGAATGGAAAAATAATAATTACAATCAACTGAGAAGGAAGTTACCTCCTTCTTGAACTCTCAGGTTATCCTAAAAAATGTCATAACTATCAGGAAACGCATATTAGAAAAAGAGAAATAATTGCTATCTAATCCAAAAACTTATTAATACAAAATTTTTCATTCTGCCAATGGCGAACGTGTTTGACGAAATTCGTGGAATTTTAAAATTTCATAATATCTCTGAAACGCCAAATATAGTGTTGGCAAATCTAATATTGCCAAATGAAGTTAGATTTATGTTTCGTCAATTTCTTATTTGCACAGACTTAGCGGTTATTTTTTTAGTGCTATTGTGCTTCTAAATAAGCCAAAGCATTTATAGATTTCTATGTATTTTTTTAATTTTAAATGTTTTAAAATTTCATTTGAAACTCTTTCTCGGTTTTTCAATAAAACTGTTATCTAAACCCTGAAAATTAAGCTATTTTGCGAGAAAAATGCAGCTCATTCTTCAAAATCAAAACGAAAACTATTAAATTTATACTAGCTGCTAAACTATCATAGAGGAAATAACAATAAAGAAACCAAAAAAGAAATAAAAATAAAATAACTGTTTTATTCACCAAAAACGCAATAGTTCTTAGAAAATTCACTACGCTTTAAGAATACTCTTCATTTG